GTAAGAGCTGTTCCTCAGCTGCTGGTTTTGAGCATCTTCTAAGTATGGTAGGTGTTTTGGAGCACCCACTCCATCCCTAAGGCATCCCGTGGTGCCCATCACCCTGCCTTCTAGGCATGATGGGACCAAGGGAACTGCTGACAGCACCCCAAGGCCAGGTAGGACATGGTCAGACCAAAAGTGAGTTCTGTGTTTCCCCTACCCTTCAAAACATCCAAAATTGCTGATTCCAGAATCAGGAACGTCATCCTGGGACCGATGGATGTCACCACCTGAGCCCATGCAGTCCCTGCAGCCACCACCAATCTTTTTGGAAGCTGCTTCATTTTTATCTCCTCAGAACTTTCTTGTGGTCACATTTTGTCCAGCCACCTTGTCCCGTGGGTGCTATCCAGACACGGTGCTGTGATGGAGCAGGGCTCCTCCATTCCTCCCTGGAGCCGGGTGGGCACCCACAGACCCAGTTGGATTTCTCCAAATCTAAATGTTTTGCGCCCTCTCCTGGGTCGGGATGGTGTGGCCTGGTGCCTTCCACCCTGTCACCTTCCTCGGAAGGTCTGGGAAGAGATGAGTACTCCAGGCTGGGATTGCCCCACCAACCACTGCTCTTGCAGCCTCTCCGGCATTTTGCCCCAAAAATACATCAGAGGGGATTTTGTCATGGGTGAACTCCACTCAAGGGAAAGCATGAGGCTGCCTTTGCCTCCTCCATCACATTCTGTGCCCCAACATAATGCTGTTGCTGTGCATGGTCCTCCCCATCAGGACATGGCCAATGGCCACTGCTTCTGCAAAAACAGGTGGTTTGTGCTAATTCTGCCACAGAGCTAACATCATCACAGGATCATCCTCTGTTCCAGCCCAGCTGTGATGCTGAGATCTTTGCGTATCATCCAGGAGCGCATGACCACTCTGGACACCCTCCTCATCCTCACAACAGCAAGGAGACACACTGGGACCATCAACACAGGATGCTGGAGAGGTCCTTGGGTGGCTAAGTACCTGAGGTATATGCTGTGTGATGAAGAGGAGCAAGTAAGGATGGAATTGCACATTTGGCCAGGTGCAGGCAGCCAAGCTGGAGGGATCATTGAACGTTAAGGGATTGGAATGGAACTTAGAGATCATCTAGTCCCACCCCCCTGCCATGGGCAGGGACACCTCCCACCAGACAAGGTTGTTCAAGGCTTTATCCAACCTGGCTTTGAACACTGCCAGGGTTGGGGCAGCCACAACCTCCCTGGGCAACCTGTGCCAGTGTCTCATCACCCTCACGGGAAAAATCTTCCTAATATCTAATCTAAATTTTCCCTCTTTCAATTTTTCCCCATTACTCCTTGCCCTATCACTGTAGTTCCTCACAAAGAGTTCCTCTCCAGCTTCCCTGTATCCCCTTCAAATACTGGAAGGTTGCTATGAGGTCTCCACACTGTCTTTTCTTCTCCAGATAATGGAGGATTCTCATCCCTGGAAACCAGAAGCAAATGACTTAAATCAACTTAGATTTGATTATTATGCACAAACAACCTGTGAAAACTGCAGTTATCCATATATATATGTGTATATATATATATGTATATTCTATACACACATACACTGTATAGTTACCTATATTTTATTCAGACAGAGAATTTCTGCACTGAGTAACCTGTGCTGGGGCACAAACCTTCCCCTGCTCAGATAGATTCTGTGTAGGTGCATATAGTGGGTGTATACATCCATCTGAAAAGGAGAGGGAGGTTTATTCTGTACATCCTATATGTTAAAGACTTGCAAAGCAATTAGTCGTGCTTACAGCAAATCCCTCCTTGCTGGGAGGGAGAAGCATCCCAAGAGAGGCTGTGGGGAGCAAAGCTCAATCCCCAGCCCAGTCTGGAGCATTGGAGAGGCCAAGCCAAAGGTGGAATGTGCAGTGACATGGCCAAGGACACTGAGTAGCTCGGTGACATGGGTTTCCCAACTCCAGGCATTGTGTCTAGGTGTGCTGGCTCTGGTGGATCCTGGTTAGGAGGTGACAGCAGGGCACCACAGACACCAGGACGGGCCAGACTTGGGGTGCATGGACACAGATGATGCTGGAGGTCCCCAGGCAGGTGACAAGACACCTGGCTTGTGTCTAACCAAGCCCATGGCCCATGATTTCCTTGGCTGGGAAATCCAGCATGGGGGTCCCAATTGCCTTTATGGCCCCTTCCCCAGTTCCCAGGGATTCTCTCTCGCCATTTTGCAGCACCAGTGATACCAGTAGGCCCACATCTCTTGCTGGTGTGGCCCCATTCTGGAGACTGGGGGATAGGAATGTCCCAGTATGACATCAAAAACTGTCAGTGCCACTGACCTGGAGGAACACATGGCCCCATGTTTCCCAGACAGGTATGAGCTGAACTAAACCCTCCCCAGCCTTTGCATGGCCCTATCAGGAAATCCTGAAATGAGAGGGGGAGAAATTTCCCCCCAGCAGCTTGTCCTGAACTAGGGACTTTGTCCTTCATGGTCCCACTATGTTCTCCATGGTCCACCAGTGGCTTTTCATTGCAGTGGTGGTTCAGCTGCCAAGGAAACCTGGTGCTGAGCCAGCCAAACTGAGCAACTGAGCCAGAGAGAGGGCACTGGATCTGTTCCATGATAGGTTTAATACTTTGTCACTGCAGGCCAGAGATGGGATGAAAGTGCTGAAAACTTGGGAGATGCTGTCCTCCTGTCCTCCAGCACGTCCCCAGCTGAAACCATCTCTGCTCTGTGGAGCTTAGAGCCAAAACTGCTCCATGCTTTGGTGCCACTGAGGTGGTTCTTGTCCTCACCTAGGAGCCATAGGTGATGCAATGGTCGTGCCTCCACTTGGTGCTCATCTTGTCGAGGAGGTAACGGGTACTCTCACGGAACTTGCGCTGGGTGAAGTAGAAGAGAATGGGGTCGAGGACACTGTTCATGCTGGCAAAGGGCCTCGTGCACTTGTAGGCGATGGCAAAGGCCTGCAGAGCTGGGCAGGGCACTCTAGGTGAGGAACGGACGATCAGGTAGATAGTCTTGGTGAGGTGAAAGGGGAAGAAACTGATGGAGAAGACGATGACCACAATGATGATCATACGCACGGCCTTGTCCTTCCTCTTGTGCACTGCCAAGCCGATGAGCTCGTCCTTCTGGCACAGGATCCGTGCCATGCTGCAGTAGCAGGCGAGGATAGCCGCGAAGGGCAGCAGGAAGCCGGTGACGGTGAGGGTGATGCCGTAGGGGAAGTAGGCAGCGGAGCGATCTGGCGGGCTCAGGTCGTAGCAGACCGTACGGTTCCTCTGGGTGCCGGTGGAAGCGAAGACAAAGGTGGGCAGGCACTGGGCAATGACGATGAACCACACTGCGGCGCACACCAGCCATGTCAGCTTCTTCCCCTTCTTCTTGTGCCATGAGGCCAAGGGGTGGCAAATGCCCAGGTAGCGCTGGATGCTGATGCAGGTGAGGAAGAGGATGCTGCTGTGGAGGTTGGTGTAGAACTGGAAGCGGACAAATTTGCAGGTGAAGTCCCCGAAAGGCCAATAATCCTTCTGGGTGTAGTTGTAGATGAGGAGAGGGAGGGAGCAGACGTAGAGCAGATCAGCCATGGCCAGGTTCAGCATGTAGATCATGCTGCGGCTCAGCGCCTTCCGGGCCACCCAGATCTGCCCTATAACCACAGCGTTCAAGGGCAATCCCACCGTGAACACCACTGAATAGACCAGGGGCAACAGGACCTGCTTGAACTCTTCGTGGAAGGTGCATGAGTTCCTCCCAGCATCCACAAGGGTTGTAAAGTTGGCCATGATGGTGTTCTCCCACTGTCAATGTCCCCTCTGCTGGTGTGGCCCCTCAGCAGTGCCTGTGAATGACAAAGGGGACAGTTGGCAAGTCTGTCTAGTATCACATACACCCTAGCAGGGTGAACCTAGACCACTATGTGACTTTGTGGGTTGGGGCAACCCCCAGGATCCACACAGGCTGAGGAGTGAGGGATGGAGAGCAGTGCTGAGGAGGACTTGGGTGTGGTGGGGATGAAAGGCTGGACATGCCCTGGCCATGGGCACAGGCATCCAGAACCCTGCTGTATGCTCGGCTGATCCCACAGCATGGGCAGCAGGTGAGGGGCAGATTGTGGGGATGATGGACATGCCCTGGCCATGGGCACAGGCATCCAGAACCCTGCTGTATGCTCGGCTGATCCCACAGCATGGGCAGCAGGTGAGGGGCAGATTCTGCCCCTCTGCCCAGCTCAGGTGGGACCCACCTGCAGTGCTGCCTCCAGCTCTGAGGCACCAACATCAGTAGGATGTGGAGCTGCTGGAGGGAGTCCAGAGGAGGCCACAGAGATACTCAAAGGCTGGAGCACCTCTGCCATGGAGACAATCTGGGAGAGCTGGGGGTGTTCAGCCAGGAGAAGAGAAGGCTCCAGGGAAACTGTAGAGCCCCTGCCCGTGCCCAAAGGGGTTCCAAGAGAGGGACTTTGGACAAGAGCCTGGAGGGACAGGACAAGGGGGAATGGTTTCCCACTGTCAGAAGGTAGGGCTAGATGGGACATTGGGAAGGAATTGCTCCCTGTGAGTGTGGTAAAGCACTGGCACGGGTCGCTCAGAGAAGCTGTGGCTGCCCCACCCCTGAAAGTGTTCAGGGCCAGGTTGGATTTGGTTTGGAGCAATCTGGTCTGGTGGAAGGTGTCCCTGCCCATGGCAGGGGGTTGGAACTGGATGGTCTTTAAGGTCCTTTCCAGCCCATTCCATCCTGTGATTCTGTGATTCTAAGCCACAATGGTGGATTTAGGGGTCTAACAGAACAGTGAAAACAGAGAAAGTGGGACTGCATGGAGTGGTGGCACACGGAACACAACCTTCATCTCAGCTGCACTTCCCACGGCACTAACACCCCACAGAAAAGTTTACACAAGGCTAAACCACCCTCATCCCACTCCGGGAAAGGAAATTGCGGCATGGTGTGCCGTTAGCCACTGGCAGGGCTTCCTGCTCCTCTGCAGGGGGTGCCAAAGCCCTTCAGCCAGTCATCCATCCGGCCGAGTTTCAGGAGATGCCACTCAGAAGGAGTCCAGCAGGACCCACGTGGTTCCTTCCAGCCGAGAATTGGGACTGGTGACAGCTTTGTGAGCTAAAAGAGAACTCATCCTACGTGGCCTCTGGGCTGCTCTGAGCAGGGCATGAGGCCATCTGCTTTCCCCAGAGGCTGAGAGTAGCATGGAAGATGTGGTCCTACAGCCCAATGAGACCCCTGATCCCAGCCATATGACTAGGCGGAACCTCTCGCCACAAAACCCATGGGTCCTACATGATCCTGGGGTACAGCAGGCATGGGCAGAGCCACTTCTCCCTCCTCTCACTCCCTCTGATGCCACCAGACCTATCTGCACCCCTGGCTGGTCACACAGGGCCAGCACCTGCTTGCCCCTGCTCACACTGGGGGCAAACTTGCCTGGAAGTGGGGTGGCCAGTGTCCCCATGCTGGATGGGAGGGGAAACTGAGGCAATGGGTGCTCAAACTCTGTCCAGGAGCATAGGGCACAGGGTACCAGGGAGGTACACAATCCAGGGACCAGCTCATACTACCATGGTAGATCCGTTTCAGGTCTTTGGGGCTTTACCTATCCCCAGAGCACAGCCCAGCTGTGGGATCAGGCTTGGGGACACACACAAGGCTCCCCCAATTTTGGAGTAGTCTGGGCTTCTGAATCACTCCCTTCTGTTGCCTCCTATCCCTCTGGTACCCCACCGAGTCCCTCTGCACCCCCATTGATCCCCTTGCACCCTACTGAGCACCCCGGTACCCCACTGAGTCCCTGTGTCACCTCTCTGAGCTCCCATCACCCCCAACATCCCACTATTCCCTCCTGAACCCTGCTGAGCCCTCCTGCATCCCCCTGAGCCCCTCTGGCACCCCATTGTCACCCCAGCTCCAAACAGTCTCAGCACTCACCTCTGTCACCTCCAGGCCAATAAGTTCTCCAGGGCTGTTAACTGTTCTGTCCCCTGGGTCCCTCCAAACCTCCCCAGGACCCAAAGCTGGGGCAGCACTCATCCAGCTCCTGGGCACCCACAGGAGCCTCTGCCATCCCCTGTGTGCTCACAGGAACACCACCGAGAACACTGGGGACAAGGTGGCCAGCAAAAAGGATCCTGGGGAACCCATCTTACCTGCTGGGGTGCCACAAGGTGCTGGGACCTGCCACTCTGCCCTGCACTTAGGCACATCTGCAGCCACAGGGTGCTGTGCTTGCTGTGTTGTGCAATGCTTCCCCTTTCCACCCAATAGCAGATCCCTGGAGAAAGAGGGAACAGAAACCCTGGATGGCAGGGTGGGCACTGCCCTGGGTGGCACAGCACTGTGGGCATCACATGGCATGGACACCACCACACATGTGCACAGACACTTCCCCCTGCACCCACCTTGCACCCCCAAACAAGTTGTACCCAAACACCAAGGGACATCTAGAGCTGGCAAATGCCACCAGGGCAGGGGACACTCCCCAGACCCAGCTTGGGGGTGCCAGGATGTGGTTGACAGAGGCCACCAGCTGTGTCACAAGACCCATGAATTTTTGGGGGTTTTCTCCCATTTTGGTTGGTTTGGTTTTTTTTTCATTTTTCCCACCCCCTCACCCCACCATTTTTGGCTCCTTGCAAGGATGGGCATCCAAGGCAGATGTTGGGACAGGGAACTCCTCTGGCACTGTGACACCAAGAGGAAGAAGATGCTCCACTTGCCTTGGTCCCCCTTGCTGCAGTCACACAAGGGAAGCCGAGGCACAGGCACTGTGTTTGAAGTGAACCAGTGTGGCCTACACCCCCTTTTAACAGACTTTTTTCCCCCAAAACACACCCCTTGGAGGGGTGTTTGCAGGGTGTTGCTAAGGGACATGACCAAGGCTACACAGGCCAGCAGTGGCAGAAGGAATACACAGCTGGAGCTGAGCCACAAAGACAATAAGCAGCCAAAAAATGATGGGATTTCCCTCTAAAAATGGTGAATGAGAGAAAAAACTCTTGTAAGAGGGAAATGGGATGCTGCTGCCAGGTTGGGAGGGATGGGAAAGCTGGAGGAGAGGAGGAAAAATCCCTCCCAATCCCAGGAATATGCCAGTATGCACCAAACACCACCTCTCTATTAGACACCAGAGAATTTCGTAAACCCCCCCCCAATCACAACCTGTCAGCGCTCACCAACCAATTTCCAATTAACAAAGCCAATTAATGCAAACACACTGAGACCCTTGGCCTCATCCAGCTGCTGTGCCCAGGGCATGTTCCCAGCTCACCATATGGATTATCTCCAAAGTCCCTTTTTCACCCCAAAACAACATCACAGGATTATGGAGAGCTGGTCCTGGTGCCCTGACTCCATGGTGATGGGCACCAGGTGAAATCCATTGTGAAAGAAGACTTGCAGGGGGCTAAAAGGGTCTCCTGATGCCACAGCGATGGGCATCAGGAGAAACCTGTGACCAAATGAGACTTGCAGGGAAGGGAAATGGATGCCCTGACACTGTGGTGATGGGCACCAGGTGAAATCTATCATGAAATAAGATTTGCAGGGGGGAAAAAAGAGGTGCCCACGGTGTTGAGGTGCACTGGAGGATGGGATCAACCATATCCCAGGGGTTTAAGATGGCTGTGAAGGAGGAACAAGGGTTAGGAAAGAGAAGTGGAGCTACTCTGTGGCCAGATGGGGAAGAGATTAAAAATAATACCCAGCAGCCACAAGCTTCCTCCAGCACATGCTGGTGTGGCTTTGTCCCCCTCCAGCCCCTTTGCCTTCAAACCATCTCATGCAAGCCCTTCTCTGGTGGAATTAGCTTTAATTAACACCCTGCTGTTAATAGGAAGGGGCTTCTGCAATGTGGATGCAGTGGGGAAATCTTTTGGCTGCTGCTGCCCTTGAATAGGATATGGGGGAAGACATCCTTCCCTGGAAATGTCCCTCCTTGGTTTGTCCTGCCCACTGTGGTGGGGATAGTTTGTGGCTCACTGGAAGGGCTGGAAAGCTGGGCTGGATGGAAGTGAAAGTTCCAGCTCAGCAGATTTCAAAGGGGATCAAGGGGATGCTTCCTCTCTGCATGGCACTTGGCCAAAGCCACCACATCCTGGTCCCAAAACATCTTCAGGTACCCATGGATATATCCCATCTACCCTGGGACCCCCTGGTGAGGATCAAGGCTTGGCCATTTTAAGGCAAATCTCCATTTACTGAAGCCTGAAGGTGTAATGATGTGCACAAATTGGGCCAACATTGGGCATTTTGAAGTATTTAACATGGACTGGCAGGAATGAAGCACGAGGACAGTCACGCTGGTTACATCAGATGGCTCTGCTGCCAATGTCCCCTGTCCTTGGGTGATCCCCTTCACCTCCCCATGCTTTAGTGCCCCATCTCATAAATCTACACCTCAGGGATGTTCTGAACAACCTGAACAGTGTTTACCTGCTGGAAATGGGAGATGCTGGGGACATAGAAGGTGCAATGAGTTGGCCTGGTCTCAGCTGGCAGAGCTAAGGCTCTAGCTGGGTCTATATAGACCATATATATAAACCATGTATATGCATACATATATAGGCTCATATACAGCCACATGTTCACCTACATGTGTTTAAACACATCCACATGTGCTTAAACACATATACACAGGCACATGCACCTCTCCATAAAAATATACCTCTATGCCTATATACACCTCTATACATAAATATACCTCTGCACATATATACCTCTCTACATCTCTACATAAATATACCTTCATACATATACACAACCATAGATATGGCTCTAC